ACTCTGGAAAAAAGACTGCACAGACTGAGCTAGAATCAGTTGGACAGCATGCTGTTTCTAGAGAGAGGAACTGGTGTGTCTTGTAAAGAACTAGCTCTGCTTATTAGGGACGAGTACTAGTAGCTTGAAAGACCATGGATTGTTCTTGGCAAAGTACTGCAGTAGGTTGCCACTTCTTGCTGCAGGTTGCAGTACTCAGCTAACTTGAGCAAATCTCCTCTATTGTTGTCCCAGTTGCACCAGGCATCTACCAGATGAGATAATCCATTGCCCTGTGTCCCCAGTGGCTTCAACCATAACCCTGGTAAGGGAGGCTGATGGGTACAACACGTTGCCTTAAGGGCGACCCAGAGACTGCAGTAGCTAGAGAGTACTTGTCTCACTATTACCCTAACAGTTAAAACTGTCCTACTGCTGGAAGCATTTGAACATCATACCCATAGTCTTTCAAGAATTAAGAAAATCACACGATGGCATGAAGGGGGTCCCTGATAGAAAAGGTGAGAACACCTTGCCCAGTAAGGATAGTCATGTGCGACAGGTGACTCCTGACCATCAGAAGAGAGCAGTCAAAGTGGCAACATGGAAGGTGAAGACTCTGCATGAAATCGGGAAATTGGATAATGTCAAGCATGAAAGATCAATATTCTGAGTCTGTGTGAAACACATTGGAAAGAGACTGGAATTACTGTTTGAGGAGATGTGAAGTTCATCTGTTCAGATCAGATGCATGAAGGAGGAGTTGGGTTGATTTTGGATGAAGAAACCTCAAAATGTTTGAATGGTTTTGGGGCAATATCTGATAGAGAGTGATGCTTGTGAAAATAAAGGCTAACCCTTTCAACATTGCAAGTCTATGCACCAACAACTGAAAGTAGGGAAGGGGACATGGATAGTTTCTATGAAGACCTTGATAAAGCAAAAAAGCAATGTAATCCTCAAGAAGTGGTCATAGTGAGGGGAGATCTAAGTGCAAAAGTTGGGTGTGAATGAGTGGATAATATTGTTGGACCTCATGGACTTGGAGAGAAAAATGAAAGAGAAGAGAGATGGATTGATTGGTGTGTTGCAAATGATCAAGTCATTATGAACACATGGTTTGAACGCCACCTGAAAATAAGGTTATACATGGAAAAGTCCTGGAGATGATGTTAGAAACCAAATTGGTTACATCACCATCAACAAAAGATTCAGGAATGCAGTTCAACAATCAAAAACTTTTCCAGGACCTAACTGTGGAAGTGATCATGTACCTGTAGTATGCATCATCAAGATAAGGGTGAGGAAACTTAAGAAACCAAAAGCAACAAAGAAGCTGGATTATTCTAATGGAAAAAGGTCTGATTAAAGAAAGGTATACAGTTGCAGTTAAAAATCATTTTCAGGAACTTGAAGATGAAGGAAATATGTCAAACTGGGAAATTTTCAAAGAAGGAGTAGTTGAAACAGCCAAGGAGATTATTCCATCAAAAGTAAGGCAAAAGAAACAGAAATGGATGACTGAAGAAATCCTTGAACTTACGGAAGAAAGATGAAAACCCATAGTTTGGAAGAGTATAAGAGACTGGACAAAAGAATTTGATCAATGCGCAATGAAGAAAAGAAAAATGGCATAATGAAAAATGTACAGAGATAGAAAAACAAAAGGATAAAAATGTTACATCAATGTATAGGAATATCAAGGACATCACAGACAAAGAAGGATGTACTGCTAGGGGACGTATAAAAGCCAAGAATAATAATGTAATTATGGAACGAGAACAAATATTGAAATGAAGGACTGAGTATATTGAAGAGTTATTCCATGACAGTCAAGAAGAAAAGCCATCTGTTACAATGAACATGGATGGTTTGAAAATTAAGTCAGATATATGAAGTTATGTAAAGCTACAGGACCAGATGAGATTGCAGTAAAACAAAAAAAATTTTTGGAAGAGTTTGGTATAGAAAAGTTAACAACTGATATCAGTGACACCTATGAAAGTGGAAAAAATACCTGAGGACCTCAGTAAATCTTTATTGCACCACCCCCCCAAGACCTGGAGCCATTGAATGTGAACTCCATTGAACCGAAGCCATCTGACAAAGATCCTATTAAAGGTGCTGATAATGAGAGCTAGAAGTAGAATAAGAAGGGAGATTGCAAAAGTTCAGTGTGGTTTTGTTGAAGATCAAGGTACAAGAAATGCTCTTTTCATGGTATAAATGCTTTCAGAGAGGGCAATAGAAATGAGGAAAACCCTTTTTCCTGTGTTTTATTGATTACACCAAAACCTCTGCTGGCTCCGCTGCCAGCTTCTCTGCCGGTGCTTCCGCCGGCTCCACGGTCGTCTTCTCTGCTGGTGCCTCGGCCGGCTCCACCGGCTCCGCCCCCGTCATCCTGGGCCGCCCGATGCAGCAGCTGCATGTTTCGGGCCGTGGGCTTCCCCACAGAGCCTCCGCTCACTGGCCTTCTTCCTGCGCCCTCGAAGCAACCTTTTGTTTCCACTGGGTGGCATCTCCAGCTGACATCACCCGGCCCCAGCTAGATATGAGCGCGGCTGATGAACCACGTGGGCGGTTTCTTCACGCACGCTTCCCCAGTCCTTCTGGCCCTTGCAGATGGTAAGTTGGGGCTTTCTTCTATTTTGACCTGGGGTTCTCCTGTAACCCCAGCACCCCTGGGACATGGATAACATCAGATGGCAAATGGGATCGTGAAATAAAACAGAGAATAGGGATGGCAAAAGACACATTTCTGAAAATGAAAAAGATATTGACAAATAGTAAAATTTCTATGGAGACCAAGTTAAGAGTTTTGGATTGTTATGTTATACCAGTCCTCATGCATGCATTAGAATGCTGGACAATATCATGAAGTATGGAAAAGAGAATTGAAGCAAGTGAGATGTGGTTTTTAAGGCATATCTTGAAGGTATGTTGGACAAGTCACACTTCAGATTAAGATATTTTGTTAAAAACAGGCTGCAAGAAGAAGCTGTTGGTTAACATCAGAAAGAGACAGTTTAGTGTCTCAGACACGTTATGAGGAAAGAGGGAATTGAAATTCTGGTCGTAACCGGAAGGATTGAAGGACAGAGAGATTGTGGAAGTTGCAGGTTGATTTATGTCAAGAGTCTATCTAAATGGATGAATACATCGACATTGGAAATTCTGTGGGCCTCAAAGAGAAGAGACCTGTGGAAGACAATGATCATCAGCGTCCTGTTTGGATATTGTACCGAGACAGAGAGAGAGAGATTAGTAGCATAACTCATGATGCCACTAACTGTCTGACAGTGGTGGATGTGATCACAGAGGTGATCATGAAGCCTTCTTAATGACTGCAGAAAAAAGTTGCTGCGGTTGACAGAGATGCAATTTGTAGTCTTGTGCTCAGCAGTGGATGCCCCATTAGGAAAGACAATGAGTCTTTGTGCTTCTGTGATCCCTTAGAATTCTGCCAGAAAAGAGTGGTTTAATTTACAACTCAGGCTCCACAAGGCCTCACCAATAGACAGGGGATGAGAGAGAGATACAGTGAATGTCTCAGGTGCTACTCTCCAGTTGGCTACTTTCTGGACTGAACTGGCCCTACAGAATAATTGGAATTATGAGAATCTTGTGCCATTGCAACTCTATCAGTGTGCATTTCTTGTCGTTCAGAATGTCACCAGGAGAAGCTGCCAGTACTTAGTAGTAAACAGAGCCTGTCGATCCTTTCTTACCAGGATATGTTCATTTTGTGGGCAGCATCTTAGAATGAACTACTGGGTTCAGAAGATTCCCCGCGCTTGAACAAAGGGCGTACTCACGATTGTTCTCACTCTTGCAAAGCTTTATTTAAGGATACTCGCAGAGGCAGGCAATAAGATATAGCAGAGAGGATGATCACTTCACATCGGCTCTAGGCAGCAGCCGCTACCCCACATAATTCCCCTGGCCCCAGAGTGTCTTGATCCCAGGGATGCTATAGCCTGTGCCGGGCTCTGCGTAAATCAGGATTCTCGCCAGAGGTTGAGGAACTGCCGTAATTTAAGAATGTACAGCTTATATAGTCTGGAGTAAATAACATTATCTCAGACTAGGGATTTGGTTATCTCAAGGTAAGAATTTGGGGATGAGTTGTGATCCAGCACACCTGGTGTTTACCACATTCCGCTGTATTACAACATTCCACTATCGAGGTTCATGGTTTGGCCACTCTCACAAAGCAAAAAATCTGCGTGCTATAATACTGGCATACTATGGAGTCAGCATACAAAACTCTTGCTATGAGCATTAAACAAAGCCCTTACTATTACAGGCAGTCTTTCTTTTCTTTAGCCCTGTTTAATGTCATAACTGTATAAGGTAACATTGGTGACACCGGTGTGCATTTTGATGGAAAATAAATTAATTACTATCAGAGCTGTCAGTGCCTGAGATGACAGGGTATATTTTCAGAATGCTCAGTGATGCACAATGTATATCTGGGCTGCATGTGATTCACTAACATAATTCCAATGGGCCCACTGTAATACTCTATTAAACCACTTCAGTTAAAAAGGATTTGAAAAGCAAAATAGCTTGTAATGCAGATTCATTAATTGCACTTGTGCCTCCATGTACAGTCCAGTTTCCTGCTTGCAGACATGCTGAGGTTTTCCAGCCTTATTAGAAAGGATCACACTAGCAGTGGTGTTGTAGTGGGAAAGCAACCTTGCAGGTGGTCTTCAGTTTGAGTTGTGCACCCTAAGTTGTGTGAAAATTAAAGTCCCATAAATGTTATTGGGACCTGCTCAATCCCCCAGAACTGCGATGAAGATTCACCTCATAGATAATCCATTCCCTTCCCAATTCAGTTTACTGCATTTTCTCACAAACCACACAACCCCAAACATGCACCTTGTTTTGGAAAAGCAGATGAAGAAAAAATGTTTTTTCCAGAACTTGGTGGGATCCCGACTGTGTGGCTCAATCCAGACCATCACTGCTTAGCCAAAATCCAATGCTGATTCAGCAACAGCTGCAAATGGCTTAAAACTAACCTAGAAGTTTGCACGCCACCCCTCCCACTCTACGCTTACAGAGAGGCAGAGCCTCAGCAGCCATTAAAATATTTCTGTCCAGCCACTCCAGTATCTTAATACTTCGATTCTGGCTCAGGAAATCAGCTTGCCCATTTGAAATGCATCACATCAATTCTGGAGGGCTGATTTTTAGAGGAGAAGGTATATATGTTATGCAAGTAAATATGGTATTGCCATATTCTTTGCCCAAATGCAGAAGGGTACATTTTCAAAATAGCATGCACAACAATTAAATTCAGACTTCAAAACACCCTTAATGGTCACCATTAATCCACAGTTGTTACTCACTAGTATCTTACAACCTGTTCTAAGCCTAGGAAAGTAGTGATACCTCTGACATCCCTGTGTGATAATCACTGCAAAAAGCCATTGTAAGTCCCATATGCTGTAAAATTAGTTCAGGTGATTAATATCTATACAACTAGACATTTTGCCTGTTTGTTTGATATCTCTCTGGACAGTCTGGATTTCCCTGAATTTAGATAAGAACTTCCAATCTAAAGAAAGATTTTCAGAAATCTCAGTCCTGAAATGTGAAAAATTATAGCTAAGAAATTATATAATATTGCAACATAAATTTTATATTTTAGATCCAGTCAAAGAATATGGGTGTGCTCCATGGCCTGAAGTTGAAAATTTAATTAAAAAGTGTCTGAAAGAAAATCCTCAGGAAAGACCAACATCTGTTCAGGTTATTTTTTTATTGTTATTTTTATTTTATTTGTATTTTTAAGTATCTTTGTGTTAGCTTCTATCACAGACTTTCTGTTCAAGAAAAAATGGTGAACTTAAGTTAGTAAAGGGTATAGTATTTTCTCTCTCTCTCGAACTGAAATATTTGTGCAACTTTGGCTCTTTCTTGCCTGGACCAATTTTACCATTTGATACACTAATCAGCTGCATCCTTTTCTGTATAGCCATGAAACACCCAAACTTTTTTCTGCTCCTTTACTAGTTAATCATAAATGCTGTGATGTATCAGCCAAGTAGGATTCACACCACATGGAAGTTTTCTATTAATGAAAAACAAAGAGAAGTTTAATTAATATTGAGGATGCAGTTAACCTATACCACTCTACATATTGGAAGTGCTGCACTGAAAATAGTATAGATCTGAAGTCTGTGATAATTTTGTGTTCTGTCTCTGGGCCATCTTGCTTTGTGATAGAATAAAATTTCCAAATATGCCCAAGCTCCACTGACTTCCTTTCTGTAGTTTTACTCGCCTTACTTCCTTACTGTAGTTTTCCATTTAATTAAATGAAAAACAGAGGAAGGTAGTGGTGCTGCTGCATAATGCCTACATAGAAGTGATCATTATGGGGGGGAGCCTTTTGTGCTGAGATCCTACAGACATTCATATCCATTGTCCCAGTTCAAGTACCTATGAAGCATGCTGAATAAAATGTGCTGATAGTTTTTCCCAGGACCTTCCTGTGTGCATCTGAATTTAATTGTGGCTCGCTTAACTAAATTGCATTTCATTCCAAGGGCAAACCTGTCAGGCTGAGTGCTCTCCTTCACCATGAACTGGCAGAGGAACAGCTATGCAGCTTGGGAGAGCTACATGAGTAAAGGGTTGCACCACTCCTGTTTTGATCCAAGTCAAAACCCAGTATGATCAAAACAGTCTCAAATGAGATGTCTGTTTACAGTCTATGTGCTGAAATACTGTTCACATAGTTTGTAAAGCTTTTTTTATCCTGCAGAATGAAAAGTGCTCTCTATTTATCTTTGTACTGGCTGTTGCTATCTGTGGTGTCTTTTGCAGATTTATGAGATTTTGAATTCAGCAGAGCTTATCTGTTTGATGAGATACATTTCAATACCCCACGTCTCTACAGCAGAGTGCATTGTGGCTGCCAATCAAAGCTGCAAGAATGCAGGGGTCTGGATTGGTAGTGGAAACAGAGAAAATGCACAGCTTTCGATTATTAACTTGAATACAGATGGGCACATGCTTGAGGTAGGGGTGAAAGTTGTCATTCATTCCAAACTTGTTTGAATCAATGGGCGCAGATTACTTTAAATATTAAATACATTTATTTCAGAGCAAGTTTTGCCATCCTTCTTTTCCTGTCATGTCTCTAGCCAACTCTTCTCACAATATTGCCTTTTCATTGCTGGATTTCTCTCTTCCAGTGGACTGGTTGGTTGTAAGTCATTACCCTTTTTGCATGCAAGCTAAAATGAGAATGAATAATCATAAATAATGATAACCCTTAATATTAACCATTCTCCTGACAAATTAACTTTGTCAAGTTGTCCCTCATCCCAGTCTTTCAGCACCCTAGGATGCACTGACCAGTTGTCTCCATTTTGTTTCTGGAATTCCTATATCCAGTATTGTCACAAAAAGTAAAGTTGCAAACTGGATAATGTTTTTCCAGGTTAGCTTTAAAGTGATGGACTGTGTTCTTTTTGTCTCCCTGTGCTGGACATGATTTATCAAAGGGGTTGTTAAAGGGATGATTACTGTGATACAATAAAAAGCAGCGATCTTGGATGATTCTAAAAATAAAATGAAAAAACGTAAAGGAAATATTAAGCCAGTACTTCAGTTTCTGACAATTGAACTGTGCCATTGAAAATACACTAAATATGGTTCCATTTATTTTGTTTTTTTCTCATGGCTTTCAGACGCTTGTTGGCTGTAATATATTCAGAGAATTTATCTATTCCCAACATTTAGTTTGCTAAATCCTCCTGGGTCAAACCCTCCTTCTAGCCTTTCTCACAGCACTGAGCAGGCAGCTGGTTCAGTAGACGGTGCCAACTGGGAATTTTTTTTTAGTGTCGGGGTGGAAAAAAGGCTGTCCTTCAGCACCAAGAAAGATTCCACTGTCCTCTGTGTTCAATTTAGTGGTGTGGACCCTTGCTGAAACATAACAAAGCTGCTTTTAATAGGGTTTTTTTTTTTCTTGACTCAGAACATTGCAGACAGTAGAATATTAAGTCTGGCCTTGGTGACCCTTCCCACTGAAAAAGAAAACTGGATTGTAGCAGGGACACAGTCTGGTTCCCTGTGGGCAGTCAGCACAGAAGATGAGAAAAACAGACACTGTCTTCAGAAAATGTCAGATTCTGTTACCTGCCTCTACTGCAACTCTCTTTCCAAGCAAAGGTAGCATTACACATTTAAACACTGTGGGTTAAATTTTGAAAAGTTGACTAAACAGTGGTGTTCACATTTTACTTACAGACCCCTCTGTTATAGGAACAGTTAGTGCTTTGCACGTATGTTTGCACATCTGGCAGGGTTTAGGTGTGAGGTTTTGGGTGTTTTGGGGTGATGTGTTTATTTTTAGTGGGCCGTTAAACACCTGATATGCCAGCCACTAGTGATTCTGTTGTTGTTCAATACATGTCCCTTGTTGAGACTTTTCTGGAAATCCTCATCTCATTTCAGCAAACAGAAGAATTTCTTTCTGGTGGGTACAGCAGATGGCAAACTAGCAGTTTTTGAAGATAAAGCAGTAAAGGTAAAATTAGCATTTCCAGTAATTTCTACAAAATGTAATTAGTAATGCATAGAGTAACTGTTTCTAATAGCTTTCTTTCATGCAATTTATTTTGAAAAAAGATGAATTTCCATAACCAAAACCCAGTCCCTAATCTAATCTTTTAAGAGCTACAAGTGTCTTAGAAGTTGTATTTTATGCAGCAAAGTTTGGTGATGTGATTATGTTTCTGTTGTCTCCAATGTCTGAGGGTCAAAAGCAAGAGCAAACAATAGGGAGTGTTAACTGCAAATATATTTAAAAGCATTTTATTTTATAAGTTCCATTAATGGCTGTGCATTCAAGGACTTAGTTTTGCTATATCTCTTCCTTACTTTTTTGATCAAAGCACATTGGGTCTGTCAGTCAGGCTGTGGCATGTCAGGAAAAATGAGCACTATAGTCTAGATCAGTGGTGTTCAACCATTTTGCCAGTGTGCCAAATGAGCAGTGCCCCATCTATCCGTAGACCAAATCCAGCACCCCATCTGGCCATGTGGAGGTGGGTGGGGGAGCAACTCAGCCCTGATTCACCTGTGAATGGGGAAGGGGGCATGGCCTGGCCCTAATTCAGCCACATGGGGGCTTGGGAATTTGGCAGCAGGGAGGGTGGCAGTATTAAAGTATTACACTTTAATCCTTGAGCACCCCTTGTTTAGATTATCTTCTAGACCAGAGCTTTGGCATAGTGTTTGGGGCACCACAGCTCCCTGATTTTGAGGGCAGCCTCAGTCCAGATGCAATCAGGCAGTAGAGGAGTTATGCTAAGTTGTAAAACTGGCATAGGACCTGTTGTGGGTTCCTCTCAGAGGAGTATTAGTGGAGCACTGCCCATCTGTGATATACCTTCCTCCCTTCCCCCTCAAGTGCCACAGGGTTTGGCCTTCAGACAAGGCAAGTCTCTACCAGACATTTGTAGTACTGGTGTAGAACAGGGCTGTCCAGCTTCAAAGAGTTTGGGAGCCATGTGACCCAACAGGAGATGCACACCATGGGGACAGCACTAGCAGGGGCTCCCACTCTCCCTGACTGCATGCCCTGCACACATGTGTGCAAGTGGGTGCTCTCCCCACCCACTGTACATGCATGCAGGAAGGCCCTTTCCCACTCCACTGCACCACATGCAAGTGAGCAAGCGCTCTCATACACAGTGCAGCACCCCACCTCTGGTCCCTGCAGGCTCTCATGTGGCACTGAATCACATAAGCAGTTTAGGCTGCCGGCTCCCCCCATCACTGGGTGCTGTGCAGTGTTGTACTGCTCCACCCTTAGGGGTGGGGCATGCAGCAGAAGCTGGAGGAGGGAGTGGTTGCCTCAAGTACCTAGCTGCTGTTGCAGCTGGAGCAATAGAGGTAGCAGCAGCTAGGTGGGAGCCCAGGGGCCACATATTAACCCCTCTCAGGCCACATGTAGCCCACAGGCTGCCAGATAGCACTGGTGTAGAAAATGTGGGCCTGTGTATATTCTCCAAATTGTGTTCTTGCTATGTCAGTTTTCAAATTGCCTTGGAGAGCAAGATGCAGTGTGTTCCTAATTGACACTGTGTTTCTTCTTACAGCATAAGGGTGCTGCGCCTGTGAAGACATTGACCATAGGAAATGTCAACACACCATTGATGTGCCTAAGTGACTCCACATGTTCATCTGAAAAAAATATAATCTGGGGAGGCTGTGGAACAAAAATAATATCATTATCTAATGATTTCTCTGTTCAAAAGCTTATTGAGACAAAAACAAGTCAACTGTGAGTTGTATTTTATAGTAAAATCACTTTGTTCTCATCCTTGTTTCCTGTCAAATGTTGAGTCGGAGTGTCCTGCCATGTAGCTTGCTCTTTGTAATTTTCTATTTTCCTTTCTTTTCCTTTGACATCAAAGGGAATACAGTCTGTTGTTCAGTAAAATTAGCAGTATTACAATTTTCTCCCCATCCCAGATGCATTTGTCCCTGTACTTCACTTGGAGCTATGAATTTTTCCATATATAAGTAGTGTAGTTATGTGGTATGTGTATGTATCTGCTCTCTGTATATAAATTCTACAATGATTTTTGACTTTTTGTTAGTTAACAGCTGAAATTTTAGTTTGATGAAGATGCCGAAGGGGTTACTTAGTCATCAAACTGAGACTGAAGTTCTTTGTCCAGTTGCTATAGGCCTCATGCAGGCAAAATTCACCCTTAAGTAAATGGAAATTTTGTCTGAATAAAGCCTACAGTTTTTAGTGTTTTTATATAAATCAAGCTATCTCTGCAAAACAACACGTGTGCCTTAACACATAAGCCAATGTTGTTTGGCCAGTAAGTAAAGCTTTCAGTATGATGCAGCCAAATGTTATGTGCATCTTTTTAGGAATTACACTAAAATATGTTACCAAAGACTATGAGGATAACAGGCAGAGAACTGTATAAAAGAATTGTTTTATAATAGTAAATGCCAGTGTGACAGGTTAGCAGCTTATGAGTTATATTTGTGGCAGAGTGAGTGATTTTTGAACCATACTGTAAAATGAGATGCGGAAGATCAGTGAAGTAGAGGAGTGATGTTTTTATACTGCAGAACCACTGCAGTCAGCATGGCCATTTCTAGGGGGGTGAATTAGGGTAACCGGCCTGGGCCCCACACTTTGGGGGGCCCAGCAGAGCCAGGGCGAGCAGCTGCGGCAACTCCACACCTGTGCCAGCTTCATGTCTGGCTGCTCAGCACCCACTGCCGAATCTGCTGGCTTCCTTTCGTCCAGGGGTGGGGCCAAACACAGGCTGATTTGCCCTGGGCCCCACACCATGCTCGGATCATCTCTGGCAGCCAGAATTTGAGATTGGTAGAGATACAGATAAGTATGTAGAGAAAATCACTAAAGAAAGCTGTTGGGGTATTAAAAATTAATAAAAAGCAAACCAGCCAAAATCAGGCTGCACCCTTTTGGGCCTTGATCATCCAGCAGGGTAAGATACACCTCAATGGAAGCTGAGGGTCCTTAGCATCTTGCTGGAGTTCCCCTTTACGGCTGCTTGAAGGCTCATGGGGAATAGCTGGATTGTTATGCCATCATCACCCGAGTCATAGGTAGAGAAGATGTGTTAACACATATTGGACTCATTGCTGCTTCCATGGAAATTGGTGGCACAACACCTACTGACTTTGTTGGAAGCAAAAGCATTAAGATTTCTTTTGTCTTTAGACCAGTACCCATTTTATAGGATTAATTTTTTTCTTGTTTTAAATGGTTAAATGCTTGGACAACTCTACTGACATGAAACATTTATATATTACCCTTTAATTTGGACTCAAAGCTACTTTGATTTTAGGCTGTAATGGTAGGCGGAGATGCTAGTGACCCCTATAATTAAGGAGTATAATATATATAGGAATATGCTATGCCTAATGCTTACTTTTCTCTTTCCTAGATTCTGTCATAAAGATTACAGTGATGCAAACATTATTTCAATTGCAGTAGACAAGTCCATCTACTTGGCTAAGAAAAACAGCCATTTTGTGGAAGTTTGGGATAAGAAAACAGAAAAACTTTGTGAACTAATTGATTGTGCACTTTTTCTCAAGTAAATATTTTATTTTATTCTGGATGGTGTGGTGTCTAATAAATGAATAATGGGTTCTGCTGGTAGATTTTACCTAGAACACATCATATTTTGGGGGTAGGAAATGAAAATGATAAGATTAGCCATGTCTTTTCCTTCCTCTCTGACCCAGAACATTAGTTATTTCACAAAGCCTATATTGTCTCATAACAGTGCTGTTGAAAGTGGGTACCATATGCGTCCTTTTCATTCTCAGACTGATGTGAGCATCTGCACCAGTGTCATCCTTTACTGCAGAAGAATTCCGTGGGGGATTTACGTATATATATAGTGTTGGGAGACAAAGGGAAGGAGAGCTTCCTGTGTCCAATTTAAAGGCAATCTCAGAGTGTTAACTAGTGGATCTTAAAGCTTCAGTTCTTTCTTGCCAAAATTGTATAATTTCAATGGTTAATTGGTTTGTACAGCCTTTATCGACAAAAGATTTATGCAGCCTGTATTGACGAAAGATTGTTTAAAAACTTGTCATGTAAAATAATATTCATGTCTGCCACAGATTTATAATGCAAAATCTCTTCATATTTCTAGGGAAACAGTGGTGAAACTCAATAACGAATCAAAACACAGAGTGGCTTATTCTGGAAGAGTGAAGACCATTTGCTTACAAAAAAATACTGCCCTTTGGATAGGGACAGGAGGAGGGCACATTGTGCTGCTTGATCTGTCAACACGGCGTCCCATCCAAATAATACAGAATTGTTGTGACTCTGTTAGAGTCATGCTGACAGCCCAGCTAGGTAAGTTATATTGTCAAAAGGAACTGAACTTTCATTGCAAAGCTAGGGCTATATTAATTCCTAATTGACATGAGATGACATAAACTAATTTCATTCACTTTACTCCACTATTTGCTTGTTTAATCTAATCAATGCCAATATTCTTATATTAATAAAGTCCCAGATGAATGCAGTGCTGGTGGTCAGACACAACAGCAGCAATTCCCAGCATCTTTCAAGAAAACCCTTGATTATGACTGGCTAGCACATGAGCCTGTCTCTCCCCCAAGTCCCTCTGGGCTGTGATGCAATGAGTGCATTTTTCTTTTGGTTTTCTCTCTCCTGCTCTGTCTGCCTTTCTTCTCGCTTGTTGCATTCAAGTTTCAAATAATTGTTTTTACTTGCTTTTCCTGTGGCTTTTCTCTGGCCTCCACCCAGCAGAGTCCATTGGTGTATCGTTAGAACAGCTTGCAGCTTAGCTATGTAGAAGCAGAGTAAGGGATAGAAGTTAGTGGACTGCTAGCTGAGCATTATACATATGAACTGCCCCTGAAGCCATGGTCAGTGCTGTTATGGGCAGCTGTGGGTGCAGGGCCTGAAAAAGAGGTTTGTAAGGAGTTACTGCTCCTTCATACCCAGCCACAGGACCATATTTGCCTAAGGGGCAAATCTGAAGTACTGTTACTTTCTTCAACCATTGTTTTTTTATGTGATCCCAAACTAATCAACCCACCCCCACTTCAGTATACGCAGGGGTGGCTACCTTAAACATTAATGTCATAACACTACCCGGGGGACTAAATTCACCTTCTGCTACATCTTATAAATTCTCCTGTGCTGCAGCTCCAGAGTTCTGCATTAGTGTGATTTAAGAAAAAAACCTGATGTCATATGTTACTGAATCTTGTCATCTCAAACTATGGATTTTTATTTTCACTGCCATCAGTGTACAAGTAACCCAGGATGTGTAAATATGCCTGATTTCCTCTGCAGCCCCAGCTCTAATAAATGTTCTTCAGTGCAGCCTACCTAGTAAAGCAGCTGATGAGGATGCATGAAGCAAAATAAATTTCCACTAACTCTAATTTCACTTCAGCAGATATTGACTCTGCAGCACTGCAAGCAATTAAACAAGGTTTAGTTCAATAAAGGAGGTAGAGAGTATATGAGGTGGGTGGGGAAAAGCAGGTAGTTTTCTAAGGTTGTTTTTCTGACTAGCTGCAATCATACAGGTAAAGGTGCCAGCACAGCCTCTGGGCTGCACAGAGGCCTGTTTTATCCATTTGCAGGACTTGGGCTTACAAGAGCAAATGTAGGGAGTCAGTTTTCGAATTTTAATCTTGTTCGTGTTTTTTATCTGGATTCTAAAATTCCGAGTTCCCGGCAGCTGAACGTTACAAATAGACATAGGTAAATATTCTGCATATAAAAAACAGTGAACTAAAATAAAGAGCTAATTTTTGTGTGCTGATGTAATGTACTTAGTTTTGTAAATTTAAAGAACCTTGGGAAACTTTGGGTGATTCAAGGAGAACGTGTACAGGGGCTCCCAAGCCTCCCAGAACCATAACTTAGGCAGTAAACCACAATCTAGCCTGTATCTGCCCTGTAAAACACACAGGGCCAAAGCCTGCCCTTGCCCACACTCATAAAACATTGACATGTTTTCAGTGTAATTTTTTCTTAATCCAGTAGGACTAGTTGATTGGAAATGAGGGCGATACTTTGTAACAGGTTATTAGCCTTTGATCCCTGATAAACCCCTCACATTAAAAATGGAGGTGAAGATTGTGTCTTTATCAAGGTTACTGATTAAATATAATGGGGCTGGTTCTTCTTTAAGTGGCAGTATTACATTTTTATTTTTCTAATTACTCTGGCTGATATCCAGGTTCAGTTCCCAGACACACACATAACTACATCTATCAAGGCATCAAACGTCCGACTCAGTCTGGCTTTTAGATATTGTCTCAATGGTCTAAAGGAGGAATGGAAGATCTGGGCAGCTTCCACTCCTCCGTAATCCTAGGCATATGTGTTGAAGGTCCTAAGGACCTCTAATAAAAATATACCATGATCCAGAAGGATTTACGGTTGCCTACTGCTCCTAATGGAACACTGTATTACTCATATTATTTTACAGAACTAATATGAGTTTTACTAGGTTAGAAGTAAAGCAGAAATTTAAGTTCTAGTTAAAAATTTAAATGTTTTATTTTTAAAAGGGAGCCTCAAGAATGTTGTGCTGGTATTGGGTTACTGCTATAAAGGTAATGAAGACAACAAATATCCAAAAGGTATGAGCAACTTTGTTTTAATAACCCATATTATTTATGTAATAGAAAATACTTGGTTACATTTTGAAATGTCTCCTAGAAGATTTGTTTACATCTTCTTCTTATGAATTTTCATTGCTGCCTTGTTCTGATATATTATATATTGTGGTCCATATGTTTCTAGAGTTTTCCCAGACTAAGTCTATAAAAATGGCAAGGGCACTGGTATAAAATGAAATGTCGTGATTGTTTTGCATAAACCATTGTTAAAAATTCTAACTACTAGAACTTCTTTTGAAGACCCTCAATTTGATTATTTGTGCAGTAAAAGCCTTTGTAAAAATCCTTTCCCATTTTACTTTATTTAAAAGTATTCATATGTATACATTCTGTAATTGGAAGTTTAGATTTTTATAGGCCTTATCCTACAGTCCTTACTCATGCAAACAGGCTCTATTCCACTGAAACCATCATTAATACTCCAGGGAATAAGGACTGCTGGCAAAGTAAAGGTTGAAGAATTTAGCTTGTATCCAGTACAGTATGTCCCCCAGAAAATGTGGAATTAAAATCGGATTTAATTTCACCTAATGACAGGTTCTCCTTCCTAGGTTGTGAGGGGAAGCAACGCCTTTATCATGCTTTCCGGCTGGAAAGCATAGCAGTGACAAACTGTAGTGATTTTTGTACAACTGCAGCTAGGGTCTGGGGAGGGGGACTTCATGTCCACACCTGTAACACTATTTTTGTAGCTCATCGAAGCACTGCAATGCTTGTAGCACTCCAAGGCTGCAAACAGACATCACCCTTGCACCTGTCATACAAAAATGCCCACATTTTGTGATGGCAACAACCCTAGTCATGGTTTATGCTGCCTTTTTGTAGCCCACATTGATTCCCTTATGTTGGGAGAGCACAGGCAGGCTATGGCTGCCCATGCTTTACAGTTGCCCCAGGCAGAAATTCTCAGGGCTTCAGGGGCCCAATGTTGCAAGGCAGCGGTCCCAGGTGACTCAGCCCAACATGGGGTGCATGTCTGCAAGCAGGGAATTTCCTTCTCTTGCAATCGCACACCCCATTTTCCCGAAGTATCAGCAGGGGCCAACCCTGTGAGACAAGAGCCCCAGTGACATCTGTAGACATCAGTGAAGTGGATCAGTTGTGCCAGGACACATGGCAAAGCTGATCCCACACCAAAGATGACATCTGTTTTCAGCTCTGGTGTAATGTCTGTCCATAGCCTGGGTCATCTACAGTTTTTACTCTTAAGAACTCAGTTCTTTAAGGTGCAAGTACCCTTGATCCCTGTGGAGAGCACTCAGTGCCCCTCAAGATTGAGCCCTTAACAATGGCATGTTTTCTAAGAGCATTTTATATTTCTATTTGTGTTCTTCCTAACAATAATTAACAATAAGCAGAAAACCACTTGTAAACTGCAATTGCGCTCCTCTGTGTAGCACTATTTAAAATGTTTTTTAAATTATTTTTTACAGAAGTGCAGTCATGCTTATCTGTGTGGGATATTAACCTGCCACATGAAGTACAAAACCTGAAAAAGCATATAGAAATGAGACAGGAATTAGCACAAAAAATGAGAAGTTTTTCTTTGGATTAAAGAACTCCCAAGGCAAGAGATGTCTCATCTCCAAATTTTCCATCATTTTAACTTTAACACACGAGTGACTTTTTGTCTTTTATTCTGTTACCTTCAGAGAATGATTTTCATCCCCCCCAAAATCATGAAATATTAGAAGAAAGAAGAAGTAAAATCTCTTCAGAATCTCGGCATTAGCTGTGTGTACCTCCTAGGCAAGTAGTGCTGGTTTAAAGTGAGCTCCCCTAGCCTATTTCTAATCTAATCAGAAGTATTTCTCTTGGGCTGGGTGCTGTATATAAAGAGTAACTCTACTGAATGGTTCTAAATCAGAGTAAAAATGTAAGCCTCAGTCTGTTTATTGCCACTTGCATATATGAGCATTTTTCACGGTTCCTGTTTTTTGTGGTACTGGCCTAGAAAGACAAGATGAACCTGTGATCTGACGCAGTATGGCATGTTTTATATTGTCATGTTTTGTTGTACTCATATTTAGTATTCTTGATTAAATGGAGGAAAATATTTTATATAGTAGCAGTACAACCAATTAGAGGAACATTCACTTACTGTACAACAGTTTTAAACAGCAGGCTGAATAGGTCAGTCTTTTTCTCTTCCTGTATGTATCAGCAATTTGGCAATTTTCAGTCTGTTCAAAAAAGATTTTGTGCTGAAGGACCTGAAATATTGTCTTGAAATTCTGGATTAAAATGCATTGATAGACTTCCACAAGGATAGTGCCTTCTTGCAGTACTACACAGTATCTGGTTTCAGGCTGCACAGTCTCGTTCATATAAAGTATGCCATTGCAGAAAATATTCACACACTAGTATTATACAGTTTGCCATACTTGGCTAAGCAGACACAGGGTTATAATGCCTGACCTGAATGTACCCTCAAGAAATACACAAAGAAGAATGGCTGATGCTTTTAAGGTAACCATCCAGTCAGATGCAAGGTAACCAGAGAGTAGTCATGCAGTAAAACTATGCAGTTTGCTTGTCTCAATCTGAAAAAAATGGAAACTAAAGGATTGTTACAGTGCCTGCATAGTTAACCATTCAGCCATATTTTGAGCACCTTATATCTATATTTTTGAGCTATGCAATAGAAGCTGGAGGCATTTAAAAATGGGCTCCATCTTGCCTTGCATAGCCCCACTGGGCAGTTGTACCCAGACATATTCAATTAGGAGATAACATTTTATTGTTCTACATCTATTAACTTAGTCTTCTGTTATCCTGCACTAAGTGCCTTATTTCTGTCAATCACACAACAGGCAGATGCTTTTCTCTCTCCTTGAAACCAAGTGCATCATCTCTGTAGCAAGCCTAAAATCCCAGGGAGTAACAAACCCAAAGCCATTCCTGTATTTGTCTCCTATGGAGCCAAATAGAGTGTCGCCACCAAACAAGTTCTTTCCTCCAGTGTTTTTAGTTTTAAATGATTCCTGTACTAGGGCAATAAGGTTCCCTGGACTTTCTCCAAACATATCAGTATTTAACTATCTGCAATTTGATAAGGACATACTCAGGGTACCTTTCATATATACACCCTGTTTTCATTGTGATCTTATATTATGTATATTGAGAATAATTTGTTATTTATATGATATTTTATCACTCAAAGTGTATATTATCGTTATAATGAAAAATAAAGGTTTTTAAACTATCAAGAGCATATTTCACATGTTGAAATTGTTCATGATCATACTGAGGTGTAAGCTTTATAGTTGTTTATTAAATCCTATTTTGTTGTTCTGTTACATATTCTCCTAGTCATATTTCCAACAGCATACTTTATTTCACAGTATTTCTGTTGAGATCAAGCCTAACCACTTACTAAGTTTGTTCAAAAGCCAACAGAGTAAGAGAAAGCAGAAGTTAGCAAATCAGTCACAGTGTGGCAGGGTTTTTTAATATTGAGCTTTCACTATTTAAAAAATAAATATAAATCTCCTAGTGGTAGTATCCCAGTATGACAAAGTAGAAGGCAAAGCCCCAACTCAGGGCTAGAGAAGACATATTGAGAAGATATATTGAGTAAAGCAAGACTGAAACCAAACCACCTCTCAGAGGATTTGCAGAACACTGTTCCTGTAACAAGAGGCTTGGAATAAACCAAGGTGGAGGTTCTCATTTTCTACCACATGACATAGTGGTTGTGACTGTTCTCTCACTTCTGTCCTAGTGAGTTCAGCATATTACTGAAAGAATCACGAGAGGTAGTTAGTCTCAAAGTCAGACAGAAGGCAGGGTAGAGATGTACCTTAAAGACTAACTGAATCAGAGATGCATGAGCTCTTGCTTACAAAAATGAATGCATCTCTAATTCATTTAGTCTATAAGGTACATCTCTGCACTGCCTTCTGAGAAAATGTCATGAGAAACAAGTTGTAAAACACAAACTACCTGCCCTGAGCAGCAGAAAGTCTTCCTGGAGAAGTGGGGAAATAGTGGCCCATAATGGCTTCAAATATAACTTTGCCAGGGCATGGAGGGTAACCAGCATTCTTTAGCAAGCATACAAGACCAAGTGAGGAGAGTGGAAAGATGAGGCTCCCTGAATATCTGCTGTGGAACTGAAGTGTCCTTTCCAAGCTGCAATTCTCCAACCATGAGAAGAATGTTATTTCCATATCAGAATGCCTTAAATCCCAACTACTCCCAGGTCAGATTTCACACCACCATGAGCTTTGTGCAGTGCATACCACCCTCTGGCAGGCTGAAGACTCACCAGGTAAAGCGTTTTTATATACCACATTTATGAGCAAAATGGAATGTCTGGATTTATTAGTTGTCAAAAAAGAACATAATAAAGGACAAAAGAAGAAATTGCTACTGAGCAGCAAACCATGTTCATGTTATATAAACTCATTTCCTCAAACTTCAGTGAAAGTGTTTGTGAAAATAAAGCAAGCAGGATATGGCTATTATCTAGTACCAGGGCCACCCTTATACAGCAGACCACTCATAATTGTTATTTATTTGGAATGTCTATAAGCAACACTCAGCCATGAGGACCATGCTGTGCCAGACATGGTACAAACACAAAATGAAAGATGGTCCCTGCCCAAACAGCCTGTTTGCTGCAATAGGGATTCAGGTAGTGTGATTTATTATGTAACAGCTTCATTAAAGCTGTGTTTTAAAAGCATCTCCAGCAAAATCATTCTGGGTACTGGAAGCATTCCAGAAAGGGACATTCTGTTCAGAAGGACCCAAGTACTCATCCACTGCATATTGACTTTTCTTATCTGTCCCCCTCTAATCTATGGTTTTGAATTGCCTGTTGATTTCTCACAAATGTCATGGAGCTAATTCATTTACACATTCATTGACATTGGTTTCTGAAACAACCCAGTATTTCCAGGTTAAGGAGATTGTTAAAAATATCCAGGAGAGGTTATATAAGGAAGATTTATCTTTGTAACGAGTAGCTGATACCTTATGGAAAACTTTGAGAACATTCTGCTTGGAAATAATCCTATTTATTGAAGATACTTTCTGGGATTTTCTTCCTTTCTGGCTCAGTTTTACTTCCGTTAACATCAATGGAAGCAGGAGTGGGCCCTTTATTGATAAGGATATTGGTAATAGGAAAGTAATCACGATTTAAAAAGCACTTTGCAAAACCATCTTTATGAAAGAAGATTAATTTCTTTTTTGTTTCAGAATATCATATACAATGCTGATGAAATGTTTTAGGTAAAGATGGTTGGGTTTCTTTTCCTGTGTAGCCTTAGTTATGTTACATGATTTTAATTTTCATGTTGTCTCATGAGAGTAATAAATTTGCTCTGACATACCTTGGAGCCAGTCACAAGGAAGGATGGCACTGAGCTTAAGCAAATGGACTTAAAGGCTGAATCCAACTCCCCTTTTATCAAGTAAGTGGCACTTGTGAGTCTACAGGCAACCCCCGCTTAGCACTCTTAATTGGTTCCAGAAAAAACGAGCATTAAGCAGAGCCATGCTAAGCAAAACCCATTTACCCATAGGAATGAATGTAAATAGAGATAATTGGTTATCACCGCTTCTTGCCACCTCTTCTCACCACCGCCGCCTCTCCCCGACCCCCGCCAGCTATTCCAGTCCCACATGCCAGCCCGGGCCAGCACTCCTGCTGTCCCATCCTGGGCACCCGCTGGCCCCGGCCACGGGCACTCGTGCAGGCCCTGTGCTCACACCCCTCTCTCCCACTCTCCGCTTCTCACAGATAAAATCCATCTGCTCTCTACTCCCAAAAATACTATATATATTAACAAAGGTGCAAGTCCCAATATTCTGTGGACAGAAAATGTCATAGGTGTCATTAATGAGCATCCTTTTTAGCAGTTTCAAGGAGGGCACTGCAAACAGAATCTCATTAAAAACTGCAATAACCTCACACCTCTCAAGCTTGTCCCCACAAGACAGATTCAAAGTGTAGTGGTGAGGCAATGTGGGGAAACTCATGTCATTGCTGCCTGTCAGATTATCCAGATCTGTGAATACCCAGGTGCTTTGCTCTATCACTGTAGATCTATAGTGTTCTCAAGCATTAGAAGCAACTGTTTTTTTTTTTTTAATTCAACTACTTTTTGTGTTAAAATGGAGAGTATTCAATTGTTAAGCATCATGTAAATGTGGAAGGGCCTTTCCCTTCTGTGAATTGAGCAGTGCTGTCCCAGGGCTAGAAAATATATATGATAAGTAAGTATTTGCATAACCACATCCTCAGCCTGAGGTAGCTGGACTGGGCTGGGCTGTGTCCTGCAGGAAAACACTCCCACCTAACCATAAAACAACTGAGCTGACTGCTAGCAAGTGCTGGGGCAGTGCATCTCCCAGACTTCAAGTGACCTAAGACTAACTCTGCCTGCTCTTAAGTCCTGATCATCTGTCTCCAGTTTCCTGACTCATGCATGAATCTTTGATGCCTGGTCCTTTGAACACAGATTCTGGCACAGGCACCTTATTCTGACCCAGCTCTGACCGCTGCCCTGGACTGCATGTGCCCCAGTTGCAACACCTTAGACAGTGGCATTCAGGGCTTTAAGATCGTCGTAATGATTATTCAGATATCCCCTTTTTGCCCTGCTCACTATAAGTAGTAAATGCCATGATATAAATTATTTTACAAAGCCAGCTTCTCAACTGTTTAAAACCTTTCCTTTATATTGCAGTTGCTGAAGCAAAGTCAAGCAGAGGTGAGTCAGGTGTGCTGGCTTCAATGCTGCTATTTCACAAGGGAACTGTTTGATGAAAGTCTTTGGCTTATTGGATGTCCTTCTCATTTTCACCATAACGGCTGTCATTAAGTTATTTTCAGGACTGTAGTCATTGATTCACACCACACAGCCCAAACCATGACATTTAAGAATTATTGATTTTCAGTGAGTAAAACTGGAACATTTATAACAAACTGCTCATTGGCTCTGCCAGCCTGCTACAGAGGGTTAATTAGCAAATAGGAGTTACAGAAAAGACCTAAAACAGCCAAATAAAAACAAGGGGCCATATTATCCTATTTGAATGTGCAACTGAAGAGTGGTTCATTATATACTCAGTAAATAACAATATAAATAACAGATATGAAACTTAGATGCAAGATGATAAACTTAAACTGCTTTTCTCAGATAAATTAAAAATGGGTACAGGAAGGTAAAAAACAGAGTAAAAGATTTATTGGAATATTACCTTTTTTTTTTTTTTGTCTCCATAGAAGTAAACTCAAAGGAGAGCTGTATTGATTTATATATTCTTCTCTGAAAGACAGACAAGAGCTATTTTTATTTCTTTTGCTTAAGGAGCCTTGGGAAACCTTGGGAGTTATTGGTTCTATCTTATGTATTCCAGAAGATGATCAGTCTCTGAATGAAAAAGCATGTTCATAATTCTGGTTCAGGCTGAGTCTATATGTAATTTGGTTTACAATTCAGAAGGAAAACACTGAATAGATGCAACAGTCAGATAGGGATCATGAGGAGGAAGTATTATGTGCTGCGTGAAAACGGAAGTTAGAGAAGGTTACATGCAAGTATATGATGCCTAAAAAAGTCATTCTAATAATAAAAGGTGGTGAAATCCTGGCCCCACTGAAGGCAATGAAAAACTCCCAGTGACTATCAGGGGAGGATAGGATATCACTGTTGAAGCATAAATAAAGGTGTAAAAAGATGTTCCCAAGCTTGAAAGAGAATAGAGCAGAGCTTTCCAAACTTTTCATGTTGGTGACACACTTTTTAGACATGCATCATTTCACGACACAGTAATTCAGTTCCGGGGGAGGGGCCAAGGGAAGCAGACGCGAGTAAGGGACCTCCGCAGTACCCTTCCGCAAAATTTTCTGCATTTTGCGCGACACACCTACACACTGCCGCCGACACACTGTGTCGCGGCACACAGTTTGGAAAGCTCTGGAATAGAGAAAGATTTAGGTGACATGTCAAAAGGTTTTTTTTCCTTTAACCATTGCATCCAAATACATATGAAGTAGATTACTGGATTTAATGGCTAGGTCAGAGATACCCAAAAACAGCCTAATTCAAAGCAAAAGTAAGACTTTGAGTTGGTTAGTTCGGGGCTGGACTTGATGATCTTCCGAGGTCCCTTCCAGCCCTGATGTCTATGAAATCTATGAAATATCCTATGTGTGTGTTGAAAGGCAGCAGTTCCATCTGTGCCACAGGGTGGGACAGAGATTTAGGGCTTCTGTTCGGTGGATTGAGGCAAACAGCTCTACATAATGTGGCCCTTTCCTTGTCCTCCTTTGC